GTTTTTTTTTTTTTAGGCGAGGCAACCCTTGGTTGACCTCACAGATCGCAAGGACCTAGCCAGCTTACAATCCTTTATTTTTTACGCCTACAGCACCTGGTCTTCCTAGGTGGTCTCCCATCCAAGTACTAACCAGGTCCGATCCTGCTTAGCTTCTGAGGACCCTGCTTAGCTTCCGAGATCAGATGGGATCAGGCTTGTTTAGGGCAGCACGGCCGTAGAAAGTTTGAAGCTATTTGAAAACAAAAAGTTACCTCCCAAAATGCACCACGACAAATTAAGATTTGCTCTAAGAATGCAAGCATCATGCAAGGTCAGGAAGTCCATCGCTAGAGCTCATTATTTTGAATGACTGGAGAAAGAAAACAGCAATGAGGCAGACCTAGAAGCACTGGCTTGGAAAGCTGCCCAATCTACATTAAGTGGAAAAAAGCAAGTTGCAGAACAAGTATAGTATGATGCTATTCATATTTTTGGAATAAAGAGAAAAAGAAAATACACACACACACACACACACACACACACACACACACACACACACACACTTTACCAGACTATGTGACTTCAGGCAAATCACTTTCATTTCTCCAAGCTTCAATTTTTCCCATCCGTAAAGTGGAAACAATAAAGCATTTACCTCATAGGGTCATTACGAGGGCTAATGATATAATCCTTGAAAAGGATTTAACACAGTGCCTGGCTCATAATAAATGCTCAATAAATGTTACTGCTATGGTATTATTTTGTCAAAGAAAGACTGTAAGGCGGCAGCATTTAGAAAAGAAAAAAAATTTACTTGAAAAGAAATGCAAGGAAGTCCAACTTCAAAACAACCAGCTGGCTAAATGAAAAGCACGACACAAGTATTTAAAGGAAACAAAGGTAGATTTGCCAAAGTTACCAAGTTTTACATTAGTCTGTTCATGATTAAAAAACAACAACAACAACAAAAACCAGTATCTTTCTCAGAAGATTACAGTATCCACAAAGGAAGTGACCTATGTTTAGGCATCAACAACACAAAAGGCAGGGATGAACTTGTCTTTGCCAAGACTTATGGGAAATACTCAAAGTTTTAATACTGGAGGGATGCAGGCTAGACAGACCCTGTTATTTTTGGTTTATCTCCGGGTGCAAATTGCTGTTTCTACTGACTGCAACACATGATGTGCTTAGTCATAACAAAGCAGGAGAAGTGTCAGTTTTCTTTTCATATTCTTCATGGGGAAAAAAAAAAATCTAGACACAAATGCACCAAACTGCTAACAATGTTTATCTCTGGGAAATAGGATAGAGAGAAGAACTTACTAGTTACTGTATATGTTTCCATAGCATTTGAACGCTTTACATGTTCACAAATTACATTTGTAATTTGCAGAAGAATAAGATCACGAAAGTTTCAAATATCTAAGCCATCCTGTTTCTTTCCAGTTGTTCCACAGCAGATGAGGTGGTTTGCTTTCTAAGCTCTTCAGAAAAAAGATTTATGAACCAAGCATTTTCTCTAAAACATTTGTACCACTTCAGTCTGCAGCATCGGCCGAGAGACCCTAATATGCCATTCCAGTTGAGAGAGGAAAGAATTACAGCCAGTGAATTGGGGAGGGGGAATCAGTCCCTTCCTGCTTCATTGTTAGCTCTCCACCCTGAAGCCCAAGACCCTCCAGCAATGAAGTCTTTTAGAGTGAAACATTACAATTCTAGAGTATCCACCCTCATTTCTCCCCCCGCCCCTGCCACCACCTCCATATTTACCCAACAGATTTACCCCTGGGCAGCCCCTTTTCCAAGAACCAGAGGAAGAAATGAATTCATCAGAGGACTCACGGGGAGAGAAGTGTCCACAGTTGATACTGCAAGAGGTTTGCCATCTGTTTTTCAGGCCAACCATGCCCTATTCCTAGAATGATTCAGCATCTCCCTTATGAGCCCCAGAGAAATGGGGGTTTGCAGAGAGGGCAGCCACATAGAAGAAGCCAGACTGGCAGCAGGTGCTGAAGGATGGGCAGGATTTGCCAGTGGCTTGCAACCAACTCCTCCTCGGCCAGGACACCAACATGGCTCTGCCGACCTGTACCGAATAATTTAAGTGGCCCAGGGACACACCTCCCATTCATTTATGCTCAAGGGCAATGCAAAGATGATGGCTGTACCTATTCTTCCCACTTTTGCGTCACTACCCCTGCAAACGTGAAACTGGTTTCTCATCTAAATAGCCATGAGTTGACAATGTTCGGGGACAGAGGGAGTTCCATTATTTTTCCTCTGATTATAGCAACACAGGTACATTGTCATGACTAATCGCAAAACTGGATTTTCTAAGGTACCACAACAGAAAAATGATCGGCTTAGGAGAATCTGAATTGACATGATTCTAAACTAATTATGAGCTCAGAATTTAGGGTTCTGACATTCCATGCAGTAACTTTGATTGTAAAGACTTTAAAACGAATTTCTGAAACTTGGGTCCTCAAAACGATTCTGCTCCAGCATCGAGGAGAGTCTGAAAACCTGTGATTCTGATAAGTAGCCGGGCTGATTCCATTGCACTCCAAGGATCTGTTTCAGAGGCAGAACAAGACATGTCATAGCGATTCACAATAAAAGCTAACATTTATTGAGCATATACTACATGCTGGGCCAATGCGTGCATTAATTCATTGGCTCCTCCAATGTGAAGGAACTGCTATTACTTGCCCCCAATTTGCAGAAGGAAACACTGAGACTTAAAAAGCTTGATAATTTGCTCTAATTCTTACAGCTGATGAGACATGGTTTAGAGTCCATGCTCTGGGACACACTTCCTTGGGATAAATCTTAAGGTGATGAGCATCTTGACCCTGCAGGACATTAAGGAGAGCTGCACTAGACTAAAGGTTTTCAATCCTCTGAAGCTTAAAAAAGAAAAAAGAAAAAGAAAAGTCTCCATCCACAGAAAATGGGTAAACAAAGTGTGATACATACATACAACGGAATATTACTCAGCCTTAAAAAGGAAATTCTGCCACATGCCACAACGTGGACAAACCTTGAGGGCATTATGCTAAGTGAAACAAGCCAGTCACGAAAGGCAAATATGCCACTCATATGAGGTACCTAGGAGTCAAGTTCATGGAGACAGAAAGTAGAATGGCGGTTGCCAGGGCTGAGCGAGGGGAAGGATGAGGAGTTAGTGTTTAATGGCTACAGAGTTTTAGTTTGAGAGGATGAGTGATGGTGATGGTTGCACAGCAGTGTGAACGTACTTAATGCCGCTGAACTGCACACGCAAGAGGTAAAACGGTACATTTTACATTATGCATATTTTACGACAATGTTTTTAAAGACTGATGTCTGGACCCGTCACCAGTTAACTCAGAATCCAGGATAGGGCCCACCTATCTGTATTAAAAATAATATTCATAATAATAGCCAAGTGTTTCTCATGGGCACCCAGAGTTGAGAACTCCGGAATTCAGGACTCAGATTTCTGGAACTCATCGGCTGGCAGTCCCCGACGTCACTGCAGCTTCCCACTCGCCCATTCCGGCAAGAGGGCTGAAAGCAAGTCCTCTTCATTGCGAGTCTCCTGGCCTGTTGCTAACTAAGGTGGCCCGGCTCCAAGATTTAATGGAAGGTTCCGGAAGCAGAAAGCTCTGCGGTATCCTGGGTGTTTCTCTGGCTTTTAATTGTCTGCATATGACTAATCCTCCTTAATAGTCCAGGAAGAGGAGTGATTATTACTCAAGGGCTGTGATTTCAGGGTGAAAAACAGAGGTTCCCACTGACATCTATAATTCGCGGCACTGATTACGTCTCCGTGTCCATAACTTATGAACATGTATTTCTAGGTTCTAGGCTGCAACAGAACTCTGGGGGATCCCTCCACTGTGGGAGTTGTGCTAGAGAGGCTCACTGTAAGGGAGAAGAGTGGCATCTGGCCTTCAGCTCAGCGGCCAGTGTTCTCTAAGCGCCTCCACTTTGCCTGGCACCAGGCTAGGTTCCAGGCAGACCCCAAGGTGCCCTTAACGAACTCATAGTCTGTAGGAAACTGACGTATTCTTTCCACCAATATATATTTCTCGAGCTCCTGCAATGTAGCTGACACTGCTCAAAGTACTAGCAACGAAGGCAATATTTAAAATATTTAACAAGTTTGGCAGGAGTGCAGAATCAGAAAGAATGATCTGCTGGACCCCGTGGTACCCCTTAAGTTGCTGGATTGTGGGGAGGTCTGGGGGAATTCAGAGGAGGGGCCAGGATGGCTGGGATATCGAGAGGGGTAGTTGCTATTCGCCAGCCAGTGCAGAAGTATTTCAATATTTTAACATCAGGGAAAAGTCCTATGAGTAGGTACCAGTTGAATGACAGCTTGGCTTGGGCATAGAGATAAGCAGTTGAGCCAAGGTCCTTGACCTCCTGGATCAACCTAGTGCAGGAGGAGAACTATTTCCGTCAAAGACCAAATAATAAATATTTTAGGCCTTGCAGGCTATGGGGTCTCTGTCCCAGCTACTTAACTCTGTCGTTGTAGCACAAAAGCAGACACAGGCAATAGTAAATAAATGAATGTGGCTATTTGCCAGTAAAACTTTATTTATAAAAACAGAAGGCTGGGTATGGCCCATGGGCCATAATTTGTAAACTCCTGTTCTAATGGATGAGACAAACATACTCGTTCATCCTTTTATTATACAAATATTTATCAAGTATCTTCTCCATGACAAATACTGCATTGGGCACTGGAATACTACGCCGAACAAGAGAGATAATAGTCCCTGCCCACATAGCACTTACACTTTAATGGGAAGAGCCAAATCGATCATTTTAATATGCCATGGTAAACACTAAGATGGAAGTAATCAGGAAATTCGGGAGGGGAAGTCAACACAGCCTGGGAGTGCAGAGAAGGCTTCCCGGAGGAGGTGACTACATGCTGCCTGCTCAAATCCCACCTAAGCAGCACATGTCTTTCCTTGCGGGTTGTCTGTCATCACCCACTCTTCCCTTGTGTCCCCCAGTCTCTGAACAGCTACACCAATGGAGACATCGAAGGATCGAAGCGGCTTGGGAGGAATGCCAAGTGGGTGGCCATCGCCTCCATCATTATCGGCCTTGTCATCATCGGTATTTCTTGTGCAGTTCAATTCTCGAGGAAGTAAGTAGGCTTTTTAAAAATCCCTCCAGTGGTAAAATGCCTTTTCTCGAATTCCTGTTGGAATCTGTCAGGATAGGTTAGGTTATGCTCCGGTAACAAACAAATCCCAAACAAAAACGTTTTCATTTTTTTCTTCGCTGTGGTTACATGGGCCACGTAGGTTTGTGAGGGATCTCTCCTCCACGCAGTCATTCAGGGTCCCATGCTACCCGAAGTTTCAGCATATTGTAGCTGCTCTATCTAGAACAGAAGTTGACAAGCTTTTCCTATAATATTTTCCTTCAATATGTTAGGCCTTGAAGGCCATATGGTCTCTATCGCCATCTCAGTTGGAATCACTCAAGTGTGCTACTGTAGCACAGAAGCAGCCATATGTAATATGCAAACGATGGGCGTGGCTGTGTTCTATAAAACTTTATTTACAAAAACAGGCTGTTGTCCCTCAGACCCTAGTTTTCCAACGTCTGACGTAGAATATGAGGCCTCCTCGAGCTACAGCAAGGGAAAGGAAGACCAGAGAATGACACATGCGTTTCCGCTGCCTCAGCCCTGGAAAGACAGATGTCACTAGGCTCACAATTTATTGGCTAAAACGAATCGCATAGTTCCACATAACGGTGAGAAAATGGGACATGTATATATAGTATGAAAAAAAATAACTAAATAAACTGGCATTGAAAAGAAAGAAAAGGGGAAATGTGGGAGAATAAATGGGGCATTTAGGATTATCTATCACTCGCTCTGCCTCACCGCCTGATCCGCCACACAATGTCCTATAGGATTGTGTACTCAACTAGCACAATGTTCCTAGTTTAAGGGGAGAAGGGTCACCACAAATTTTTGGTATCACTAAAGAGCTCTCATCTCATAAGAAGATGGATGCTATTGATGTTTCTCTGTGGAGTAGGACAAATTTATTCTGATTTCTCCAACCAGCTGAGGTGGGCTCCGTCTGCTGGAATCTATGACATTTTCCATCAGAAGTTTGATGGAGGGCAGGGTCACGTGATGGACAACCAAGACTCAGAAATGAGAAGCCCAGATCCATCTTCGTCTCACTGTACAACTACCGGAAACCCTTTAGCTCCTCGGCCCGAGCAGCAGTTATCCCTCCACCGTTCCCCTTGAGCTGAGAAGGTCAGACTCTCCGGCTGGACTTCAGGGAGGGTTCACGGGTGGGTGAGGAAGGAAGAGGGTACCCTTCAGTCTGCCGGACTAGCCAACCCAACCCCGGTAACCAAAAACGTAGTGGAGGTCATAGTCAGTCAACTTCCTATCAGACAAGCCAGACCCAAGAGCCATCAGGGGCAGCTGGATGGAGGAGGAAATGTCAAAACAGGAAGTGTCACAGAGGAAAAAGGAGATGGCTTTGGCCAAAGAGAGGATAAAAGGACACTAAAACATCGAAGGAACCTCAAAGTGTCTTGCCTATAAGATGGAAAATTAATGATGCTGGTCTACGAAGGAGAAGATAGTTGGAGAATAGATAGGAACACGCCTGACTTTATTCTTTAAGGAAGGTATAGCATATGTGTGTGTGTGTGAGCATGTGGAATGTGAGGTTCATGGTGCGGGTTTGGCACCAGACTTCCCGGGTGTAAGTCCCCGCCCACCACTTACTTACTCTGAGACCTTCAGCCAACTGCTTACTATCCCCTCAACCTCAGTTTCCTCCTCTGAATAATGGGGATTGTAGTAGTAGTATTAGTACTATTGTAGTAGTATTAAACGGTTGATAAAGCTATTGTGAAAGTAAATTAAATGACCCACAGATTGTATAGCTTAGCCTCTGCTCCTTAGATGGCACACAAAAAATGCAAACCATGTATTAACCCTATTATTACTGTTGTTATCAACGTGACTGGGAGAGGACCTCAGAATTTAAGATGCTACTAAATAGAGTTCGAGCCTTTGAACTCAGGAGCCAAACTCAGAGGCTGGTGTTCCAAGGGAACGGGGCCAAGTCTTGGCCTAACTCCTAGGGGATTCTGAAAATACCTACTGCCCAGATCAGTGCTTGAGCTAAGAAGGGTATAATAATAGCAGCTGACACTGACCTGGAGCTTATCATATGCCAGGTACTGTTCTGAATTAGTCCTTATTGAATTCTCACAGCAACCCCATGAGGCAGGGAGTATTATCCCCATTTTCCAGAGGAGGAAGCTGAGGCTCAGAGAAGTGAAGAAATCAAAGACTTGCCTGATGTCTCACAGCTAGTTAGTGGTAAAGGCAGGGTTCTGACCTGGGATATTTGGCTCTGGAAACTGTGTCCTTAACCACGACATGTCCCTTCGAGCACACTCCAGAACAAAGGCCAGGAGATGGCACTTGCCTTGTGACTACCTCCAGAATTGATGTATAGGGGGGTGGTATGGTGAGGTTTTGACCTACAGACAGACACGTGATGAGTCACAGCCAAGGGTAACAAAATCAAAAGGCTTCAGGAGTAGGGAACACACATGAATGAAGCAGCCTGGCTGCAGGACAGTAGGGAGTGGTGGGGACTGCGGCAAACCAGAGAGCACAGTTTGAAGCGAGCAGCCGCCATGCTGCTCGAGGGCACTGTTACCCCTTAGGATGCAGACACCATGGGACTCGTTTTTCAAAAGACATTAGAAAGCTGGGTTTTCACTTCGAACCTCTTGACTTTTAGATATTCACAATCGATTCATGTTGTTTAAACACATAGTGAGGGCCGAAAACAAAACAAAGACATACAAAAACCACATCGGCCACTTGGAGATTATCTAGCAGCAGTATCTGGCTCTCAAAGATCAGTGTGCCCATTAGACATCATCCAAGAAGTTTTACAAGGGACCCAGAAGTCTCCATTCTTAATATAAATATCTCTGTCTGGAGACAAAGCATGGCTGTATATATGCTTGTGACTGAAGTTTTGTTAGCAGCTATAAAATATGAGAGTGGATCACCTCTCCATCTCTTCTCTAAGAGGCAGTGTTTCACAGCGGTTACAGCCTGGGCTTCAGCACCAGCTTTACCAGGATTCCAATCCCAACTCTGCCACACAGACCACCCTGACAAGTTATTAAACACTGCCTCAACTTCCCTATCCACAGAGTGGAGTGGGGACAGAATTACTTCCCTTTCTGTATGGTCAGGCTCCTTTGGGATAGCTCCCTTTCCCTTCATGTTATCAAAGAATACAAAAAAGTTTTCCTAAGTTAGAATCCATGGAGAAACTCTATGTGTGTGTGTGGGGCGGGGAGAGACAGGGAGAGAGAGAGAGAGAGAGAGAGAGACAGAGACAGAGACAGAGACAGAGAGACAGAGAGAGACAGAGACAGAGACAGAGAGAGAACAGGAAATAGAGGATGGAACCAATTCTATCCTCTGTTAAGACCAATAACAAGGCCAATTTCTCAGTAATCCTTTGAAATAAAACACCCCAGCCCTAGGAAGAACTGAATGGCAAAGCAGAGGTTCCAGAGAGCTGCATAAGAGCTCCCTGGGGAAGTTTAGAAGTTGACATCCAAGCCCCACTTCAATGGATTCCAACTCGTGGTGTCAGCAGTGAGGCCCAAGAATCTGCATTTTCTGCCTCCCCATTCCCACCCTGGGGTTTGGATACAGCTGGTCAGCCAAACACTCTCTGCCAAACCCCGGCACGCTTCCTCCGTCCCAAATGCAAAAGGAAGAGCACACTAATAGTAGCCAGCCATAATGGAGCGGTCAGTTTTCATTATATCAGCAAACTCATCATCCGAGTGCGTTGTAGCTAACTGTGCCTGGACGGGAGTCGGGTTACCACCTAGAATATATACCCAAGAGGCCACAAGGATTCCACGGAGGGGCTGGGGAAATCCGACTTTAGAGCTGACCAAGCAGGGAGATGAGACAAACAGCCTTGAATATGTGAGTTTTCTGAGTTTCATTTAAAAAAAAAAAACAAAACTATCTGAAGTAAGCTATTGCCTTTTTTTGAAATTGTTAAGTCCTCCCTTTTAAAAACTTATCCTTTATCCTTATCAACAAAACTATAACCAATCTTGAAGTCCCCTGCCTTTTAAAAATTATTTTTTATCCTTCTCAAGAACACTATAGCCAATCTCTTCTCCCTCAAATGATGGAAATCCCAGACGGTTTATTTTCTTGGAGAGACTCAGGTTGTGATCGTCTTTACCCAAACTCTATAAAAAGGTCTCATTCATCCTCATATTACAGGATATCTGTGCAGGGCATGTGGTGTTTGTTTGTGGAGCAAAGAAGGATAGTTCTGTGACATCAAATCCCTAAGAGCTGGGAGTCACTGAACTAAAATATCCAACTGCTTTAGAGAGAAGACTGTGCTGAGAGAGGCAGGCACCCCCACCGTGCCCCCGTGCACTCAAAATGCCTGTTTGTCATTCTTAGAAATAAGAGCCTTCACGTTCCAAGGTTTCCAAACGGAATCGGAAACGTTCAGCCTCTCAAAGTCAGAAACTTCCCTGCTCTCAAGCTGCTAGGGAAAAGGGAGAAGCGAATCCGAGGTGAAGCATGTAAATACTGCAGCAGTCTATCGACCCTAACCGTTCAGTGCCCCAGCCTAAATCATCATGTCTGCACACTCTTACTTTCAGCTGGTGCCTTGAGAATTCAAGCAAGGTGAGGTTATTCTAGTTATGTTTCTCAAAGCCTCAGAGCCACCTATGACAGATTCGGCTGGGCTGCTTGCAACAATGCAGATCCTGGGCCCCAATCAAGACCCTGAGTGGCCCTGACATGTGCGTTACTGCAAGGACACCACCCCCCAAAAGATAGTTCTAAGTATTCTAAAGTTGTAGAACCTGTTCTAGGGCATTGCGTTTACTGGGGAGCATTCTTACCTATGTGGACATATGCCACAAAGCGGGGCATTTTTATATTCCTAAGATAGCTGGTGGAAGCTTCGATGATTGCTGCTGTCCCCTACTCCCTAGAAGGTTTACACTCCTCCCAAGTTTCCTCTTCCTCCTCTCCTCGTGGTCAGGTTCAAGGTCACGTATCGGCTGCTTGGTGGAATCCAGT